CAGATTTCTATAAATATATAATTAATATTATATTAATATAAAATATGTAAATTATTATAATATGAAATTATATACCTTAGCTTTTCACTTATTAGATTTTAATGTAATATATATCACCATTATTTTATTTGAACTTAGATTTTTACTCTCAGTAATGAATGAATCGAAATCATGTTTATCGTCTAATGCTATTAGCTGGCCACGCCCATTTATCTTGTATGAAATTTCAAGATCATAGTTATCGATTTTCTTATTTTTAAGATACTCACAAGTATATTTAGTAAGATCATAATGAAATGCATCAAATGTATCTGAATAAAACATAAACCATTTTCCTGCCAACGGTGTAGAATTATTGACCTTAATAATGACTTTTACTTTTAATTCTGAACTTTCATTATTTGGTCGGTCAGTTGAAGAATCAAGATCGTTGTTTAGTAAATCAGAGGTTGTTGAATAATCATCATCATGGTCATTATCAGTTGGAGAATATTCTGGATCATCTGGATCTCCTTTGGAATGTGTAAAATGGCTATGACAAGTATTACAAAAGCTTATATTAAATTTTTTTTTAAAGTTGCAATCATGATACCAAAGTCTATTATATTTTCTAAGAAACAATTCTTGATTTAAAGGTGTTGTTTTAGGATTATAAACTCGACTGTAAAGGTTATGAATTTCATTGCGAGAAGGTTTTTTCGTTGTATTACATTCACAGAGATTTTCAGCTTCAGCAAGGCAAAAAAGACATTTTTGACATGAAAAACATGTTCTAATTTTGTATAAAGATGATGACATTTTAACCACACATATGATAAGTGATTATATTCAGATTAAATACTTTTTAAAATTCATCATGGATATCATGATATTTATATAACATACAAATATAACAAATGCAAACAAAGGTCTACATATTAGCACCTTTATTTTTAATATTAGCACTGACGAATATTACAAACCATGCATACAAATACACAAAACGAATTGTTAAATTCCTGAAATTGATGATTGGAAGTTTATAAGCGCTCTTGATTACCTGCTAGACATGTATGTACATGCATAAATACAATTATAATTAGATTTTAAGGGCTAAAACTCAATAATGGGTTCCTTTTGGCTGTCTTACTACCGGGAGGTTATCTCATTATTTCAACTTCACTTGAGACAATTGTAATGAAATTTAGTTATCAATTATGTAGAGATTATAATAACAATAGTGAATTTGTATGCAGAACGAACATATCATTACCTTGCACTATATCCCAATACAACTCTCTGAACAAAGTGTTGTTGTACCCAATTAATAACAATAAATGTATATTTAATATATCATAGATATTTTCTCTGGGATGTTAAGTGGTTCGTCTGGTCTGGTCTTAAAAAGTCAGGTCCCGGTGTTGTAGTCTGAGAGAGACTTCTGATTCCTTTTGCCGAACTTTAGCTCTAGACCACAAGTCCAGACTGTATGATTTCATGGTCAGTTATATATTTAATTGGATTTGCATCAATTAAGATATGCATAGTAATTTAAAGTTTGTCGTGTAATTTTTAAGGTTTGGCAAATACGGTATTATATAGGCAATCAATATTACGGGTCTACGTATACTAGTTATCACAGGTTTTATAGTGATCAATTTATTAATCGTGTTGTCCTTTTCTTATAACAAGAAGAGAGTTTCATTTACAAGATATTTTATGATAGCTACAAACCCAGACTGTACGATTTCTAGAGCTGTTACCTGGGTCAGCTGACCCGTCTGGGTCACCTGACCCGATAGGTCATGGGTCGAAAATTGCTTTGACCTGGGTCAACGGGTCAGAATTCAAAACAGACAAATACCTACTAAAATTATAAATTTACTTATGAATAATAGCTGTCTCGAATTATATGTCATCTGATCGAACATGTGGCAGACCCGATTACGATCACATATTCGATCGATTGACTACGTATGTAGATACGTAAATAAAAGTATTATTATTAGTCTTAGTAAGTATGAGGTAATTAATTAATTGATTATTTATGAGGTAATTAGATTATAGTATATTTAGTAAGCGAAAAATATTGGGAATTAACTGTCTTTTTTATAAACCTGATTTTCGTTCTGGTTATATCGATCCTTCCACCCTACCCATATTAGAGCAATCATAATTTATGTGGTCTGCTGGGATGGCAATTATAAAGAAGAGTAGGTGGTGGAATTGTATGCTAAAAAATGTTAAATATGGCTTGTTGAGACGACAGTCACAAAATAATGAAAATATATGGCCTTATAATTTATTAGAATATATTTTTCATTTACAACAAATATATACGTAGAACACATTTTTATTTGGACATCAATGTTAGCCTGGAAATGCTATTGTAATTTATTTAACAATAAGTATTTAAATATTTTTTAAAAAATAATATGTGCGCTCACAATGTTTAGGTGCTCACAATGTTCAAGCGTTCACAATGTTCAGTTCAAGTTAATAATCACATACACGATTCTAATGCTTATTTAAATCTTTAGCCTTCTTATATCTGCCCATCATACAGTAAGTTTTTTCTCATCCTTAATACAAACACATTAGTTCAAATTTTTAATAATATATTTAAATATGTTTTATTATTATTATTATATATTTTTTTTTGTTATATGTTTTTTTCAATGTTTAACCATATTTATGGTTCAATTTTAATGATTTATCTAACCCATAAGTGCTTCATAATTTGATTTTTTAGTGCCTGTTTATCTGATTTAACTCCAAACTATCTACCTAATTCAATAACTGTTATATTACTAAATTCAATTATTCTAAAATATTAATATCAAAATTTTATTACCTAGTTAAACACATGTGAAACAGGCCAAAGTTTTAAAGCTGATTTAAGGAAAAGAATTGATTCAACAAATTGAGGATTAAGGCATGTTCGTTTGTCAGTAATAGTCAGACCTGCAGATGAAAAAAGGCATTCAGATGGTACTGATGTGGCTGGAATGGAGAGATACTTGCGAGCAAGTTTTGCAAGTATAGGATAATCAGATTTTCTTGATGCCCATCACTGAAGTATATTTGTTTCACTCGGAACTCTTGGTAGTAATAAATATGAATTAAATTCACAGTTAATAATATTATTATTATTATTTTGATTTGAATGTTCTTGAAAACTATCGACTGGATTAGAAAAAATATCTTCATTCATTATATCATTAGATGCTGTATCAGATAATTTATCCAACTCATAATAATTAGCAGCTAATTTAAGGTATTCAATGCGCACTTCTGAAATAGTCTGATTTTTTTTATTCTCTGTAAATATTTGCATATCCTTGGTTCATGGATCAAAAAAAGCGGCAAACCGAATAGGCTTTGTTGGTTTTAAAAATCATTTCTGAATTGATTCATGAAGAAAACTTCCAAATTTTCGAATATCAGCATTATTTATTTTTGCATAGTCAAGCTTTATTTTAATAAAATTAATTGCAAACCATGCTTGAAAAAGTGTTAGATACTGCGAACCAGATAATTTTTTAGAAACAACCTCATAAGGATACAGTAATTTAACCAACTCGGCTACTTTTTCCCATTCATTTGACGATAGCTCTTTTTCTTCATAGCTTCTTAGTAAACTATTGTCATTAACTTCGACTAAAAATAACTTGTATCTATATATTGCAGGTTTAAGGATTGTTAACCATTTTAATAAATAAAATGTCGAGTTTCACCTTGTTGAAACATCACGAACTACAAAAAGAAAATTATTCTAGTCATTCATCTCCATTTGTGCTTCTAAAAGAAATTGTTTTTGCTTTGGACTTCCGCTAAAATGCGATACAACATCTTTACATCTTTTTATTAAATTAGTAACTTCTAAACACTCTTTTAATGCATCATTAATCGCAAGTTGTAACGTATGACCAAAACAATGAATTTTAAAAATATTATATTTTTTTTCTAATTTTTCTAAGCACGATATCAACAGTACCGCTAACAGTTATATGCTTAAGTTTAAAACTATCTAAAATTTCAATGATCTTATTTAAAAAACATTCAGAGGTATAGGGATATGGGAGATATGATATATTACCAATTATTTCTTTTACTTCAAAACTATCATTAATCCAGTGAAAAGTAAGTCCAATATATGGATCGCCATTGCTTGACGTCCACATATCAGTGGTAAATGAAATATAACTGATTTCAGCACTATCAAGTGCGCATTCACGAAAGTTTCGTAACATCTTATCTTCAGAATTTATAAGAATATCTTTTAGATGATCTTTACTAAGTACAGTGGCTTGAGTATCAAGCTCTTCGATTATTCTTTTAAATGCCTGTGATTAAATAATTGAAAATGGTTGAAGTTCTTCGACTATAAAAACAATTATATTATTGTCAAGATTTTTTTGTTTGGGGTTATTAACTGCATATTTTTTTATTTTACTATATGTTTGTATTAATGTTGATTGTAAAGATTCTGGCGTAACTAAAAATTCACATTTATTATTTTTCTTTACCACAACTTTTGCTCGGCCACTTTCTACCATATCTCGTGAAATATGATGCTTATTTCTCAAATGTCGCCAAAGATTTGAAGTAGATCCATCCTTTATATATTTTATCCGTGTACAAGCTCTATGGCGACAAACCCAAAAATCTAAATTCTTAATCGTTTTTGATTCATAAAATAGTTTAACGGGACTACCACCCGGCCTTTCATTTTTTTTCGTTTTTTAGCTAAAATTTGATTGCCAGTTTGTAATAATGCAGAGGACTGAAGTGAATCTTCATTGGCTTCATTACCATCCGTATCATTAGATTCCAACTCATCCAAATCAATGTCATCAGGCTCTAACACTTAATCAGATTCTAATGCATAATTAGGCTCTAACACATTCTCAAGCTCTAATGCATCATCAGGCTCTAACACATTCTCAAGCTCTAATGCATCATCAGGCTCTAACACATTCTCAGGTTCTAACTCCATATCATTTGAATATTCGTTGTTCATTATTTATTTACTTGGTAAGTTAAATCACAACTTTAATGAATTTATAAAATAAAATAAGATTAATCACTTTTTCACAACAAAACAAATTATTTTTTGTATTAAAGTATTTACATTATGTAATTTTATTTTCTCTATGTTGATGGTAGGTTCAATGGTCGTGGTTTTTTTTATAAGGTTTGTAAGATTCAACCTGTAGTCTTCAACAGCTTTTTATAATGATAATAGTACGGATGTTGTAATACTACAAGCGATCTAAGCAAAAGTTGGGCGTTAGGAACCTTGAAATGCTTACTAATTCAATCTCTATATACATACTTACAGAGCAGAAAATCTAAAATTGTTATTCTTCTTTTGACCAATTCTGTAAAAGCAATGCAATAATTTTAAAAATTCTCATAAAATTATCAGCCCTAGCTGATATTAGATAATGCGCCAATGCTTTTATGCCTATCTAATTCAGTCGCAATTCGTAAATAACAACTTTGCTTTAACTATTGTATAAATGTGCTTTAAAATTTCTAGCATCGTACAGAGGTGTCCACTTAAAACTGATTAAAAAAGACTTACATACTAATAAATATAGTAGAGATTACGATTTAAGTTTATCCTTAAAACACTTTACTGTAAGGGACTCAGAAAATTTTGAATTTTATTTATGCAAATTCTAAATTCTATAGATAAAATCAAAGGCGTTCACTCAAAACTGATAACATATAATAAATACAGTAAAGATTGTGATTTAGTTTACCCTTAAAACACTTTACTATAAGGGACAAAAAATTTTGGATTTTATTCATGCAAATTCCAAATTTTACAGATAAAATCAAAGGCATTCACTCAAAACTGATAACATACTAATAAATATGGACCCAGAAAAATTTGGATTTTATTTATGCAAATTCCAAATTCTACAGATAAAATCAAAGGCATTCACTTAAAACTGATAATATACTAATAAATATAATAGAGATTGTGATTTAAGTTTATAAGGGACCTGAAAAATTTTGGATTTTATTCATGCAAATTCCAATTCTACAGATAAAATCAAAGGCGTCCACTTAAACTGATAAAAAAGACTTACATACAATAAATATAGTAAAGATGCGATTTAGATTTACACTTTACTGTCAGGGACCCGGAAGGATTTGGATTTTATTTATACAAATTCTAAATTCTACAGATAAAATCAAAGTCATTCACTCAAAACTGATAACATACTAATAAATATAGTAGAGATTGTGATTTAAGTTTATAAGGAACCCGGAAAATTTTGGATTTTATTCATGCAAATTCCAAATTCTACAGATAAAATCAAAGGCGTCCACTTAAACTGATAAAAAAGACTTACATACAATAAATATAGTAAAGATGCGATTTAGGTTTACACTTTACTGTCAGGAACCCGAAAGGATTTAAATTTTATTCATGCAAATTCCAAATTCTACAGATAAAATCAAAGGCATTCACTCAAAACTGATAACATACTAATAAATATAGTAGAGATTGTGATTTAAGTTTATAAGAGACTCAGAAAATTTTAGATTTTATTCATGCAAATTCCAAATTCTACAGATAAAATCAAAGGCGTCCACTTAAACTGATAAAAAAGACTTACATACAATAAATATAATAAAGATGCGATTTAGGTTTACACTTTACTGTCAGAGACCCAAAAGGATTTGAATTTTATTCATACAAATTCCAAATTCTACAGATAAAATCCAAATTTTTACGAATCTTTGATTATAAATGATATGCATCTTGGCGTATTATTTCTGTTTAGAGTTCCAATTGTTTTCAGAGTCGTTACATCAACTTTGTACAATGGTTACGCAACTTAAAAATTTGACGATTTGCATACCGAAAATGCGTACAAAGTTGCGCTCCGGATGTCAGTTCGGATGGCTACTCTGAAATTCAAAAATTTCTCAATAAATTCTTTTTGCGAATATAT